CGGAGGGCTCGCAGCCAGAGCCCCAAGAGACCCTTGCAAAGCCTTTGGTTACCAACCAAGAGTCCCTTGCACCTTGTTCCGTTGAAAACCAAGCGTCACTTCTTTCGGCTGCCAGCCAAGACTGTGCTGCCGTTTCGGCACTGCAACCGGAGGCGATGCGACCGCCGCTGCCTGTAGAGCCTATAGAAGGCATTGCCTCAGCAGTTCCGGATGCAATGGCGGAATGTGCTGCATCTGAGGCCGTGCAGCCAGTCAGCGACAAAGGTGAGGAACAACCCAGGCTGCCAGAAAAGAGCTGGGCTTCGCAGACACCAGCCAGCAGACGCCAGAAATCCCAAGTGCACTCCCAGCAGCGGAGAATGCCACACCAGACGCCAGGCATTCCGCTCCCGACCCAGACCAAGGACATAGCGAAGCCCAAGCACAGCTTTTGCCAAGCGCAAGCCAGCAGCTGCCGGGTCTCTCAAGTGCACTCCCGCCAGCGGAGCAGGCCAAACCAGACGCCAAGATCACAGAGCAGAAAGACTCCGCGCCCGACCCAGACCAAGGACAGAGCCCAGCCCAAGAACAACTTGTTTGTTTTACAGACCCAAGCCAGCAGACGCCAGGAATCCCAAGTGCACTCCCAACAGCGGAGCAGGCCGAACCAGACGCCAAGGCCAAGGATCAGAGTATTTCCGCCCCCGACGCAAAGCAAGGACGGAGCCCAGCCCAAGAACAACTTGTTTTTACAGACTCAAACCAGCAGACTACAGGAATCCCAAGTGCACTCCCAGCGGAGAAGCAGGCCACACCAGACACCAAGGGGAAGGATGTGGCGGACCAGAGAGGTTGCGCTCAGCCTGCACCCTGCACGCCAAGCATTTTCGCACCTGTCAACGTAGAAGACTCGCCCAGCCCCTGCCAGCCGCCTCCAGACCAGCAGCGGCAGCCTTTGCTTGAACAGGCCAAGGCTGAGCAGCCTGCCCCTGGCACGCCAAGCATCTTCGCACCTGTTGTTGTGGAAGATTCACCCAGCCCGCCCCAACCGCCTCCAGACCAGCAGCTGCAGCCTTTGCCAACCAACCACAACAGGCCCAATGCCTGTGACCAGGGCGCGGCAGTGCAGGCAAAGAAAGAACCAGCTCAGCTCGGTGCGGTGCCAGAGGCAGCACCCCTACTGCCTCGTCCCACTCTTAGCCAAGACCCAGCAGGCGCGCAACAGCTTTCGGCTGTCAGCCAGGGCCCGGTTGCCAGGAAGGAGGTATGTGTCGAGAAGGATTCGGCTGTCAGCCACAAGCCAGAGCCACTTGCCTTGGCAGAGAGCACGGAAACGCCCAGCAAAGCAGGGGACCAGGACGACACATCGGAGTTTGATCTCGCGGTGGACGAAGTGCTGGACTCAGTATTTGGGCTCAGCGATGACGGCGATGACGAAGGCGACGGAGGCAAAGGCACCGGCAGCCAGCCTGAAAGTCTCGAAAGTTTTTTGGAGCCGCCTGTTTTGGTGAAGCCAGATGGCTTCACAGAGACTGTGGTTTGGAGCTTCTTGCAGCAAGCTTGGGAGAAACTTTCTCCAGAGAAGCGCTGCCGTTGCCACTGGAACCTGACCAAGGGAAGCCACTTCAAAGGCGATTCGGCTGACAGCCTGCGTCCCAGTCTTCCCACCCTCGCCACGATGTGCTCTGGCAGCGGCATGGCAGAGCTTGCTCATCGGATCTTGACCGAGTCGTTGGGCGCAAAGGAGGTGCTTCTGCACAGCTGCGAGAAAGAGAAGTTCAAGAAAAGACATCTGCTCGAGTACGTGGTTCCTATTATGGAAAGGCCGCACTTCAAGGACACTGACATGCTGAAGAAGTTTGGATGCCTTTTCCCAGAGTTCACTTGTTTGGCTGGGACACACACCAAGTGTGAGCGCCACGACAAGACGTGCAGAGTCCAAGAGCACCCACTTGTGGCCATCGTAGGATACTCATGCAAGAACTTGAGCAAGCTCAACACTCCTGCCAGCGTCAGTCGTGTTTTGAGAAACCAGGTCGGCAGCAGCGGTGAGACGTGTTTTGCACTACTTCAGTACTTGAGAAGCCACAGGCCAGTGGCAGCGTTGCTGGAGAATGTCGAAGAGATGGGACGTGAAAGCGAGGACTCAGATAATGTGGCATATTTCTTGAGTGAGGTGGAAGCTTTGGACTACAGCCTTGTGACAAAGGTCTTGGACTCTTCGAACTTTGCCGTGCCTCAAGCCAGAAAGCGTGCCTGGCAAATCCTGCTTTGCCGCTCCGTGTTCGACCAAGACCTTGCTGAGCTAGACCAAGTCCTCGACGCCATGATGAAGGCCGCTGTGTCTTTCGGCTGTCAGCCAAAGCCAGCAGCGGATGTTTTGTACCCAGACAACGACGACTACATCGAGACGCAGCTCGAGGTCAAGCAAAAGAACATCAAGGAGAGGGACACAGAAACAGCGACCCACGCAGTTGATGCTTGGAGGCAAAGGCACCGTGAGTTCTTCGCAACAAGAAACATTGCCTGGACAGAAATCAAGCTCCCAGACTACGTGCTGCGCAGCAAATGGGCGTGTCTCCTCACAGAGCGCGAAAAAGAAGTCTTGGCATACGGCCTGATGAAACACTTTGCGGACGTCGGATCTTCCGGAACTCCGACCGATGCTGAGGGCCGTGACTTTGTTGCTGTGGACGTCTCGCAAAGAATCGACCGTGCCCGCGTCACGTCAAGCCCGAACACCTTCTTGACAGTTTTGCCAGCGCAGAAAGTGTGGGTGCTGGTGCGCAAGGGAAATGATGTTTTGCACAATCGATTGCTCACCGGCAAAGAATGTCTGGAGCTGCAGGCCTTCCCTTTTTTTGAGCAGCTTGACATGAAAGTCAGCGACAATCAGATGCAGGACCTTGCAGGAAATGCCATGACTGGAACAGTTGCCGCAGCACTGCTTCTAGCACTCTACAGCCATCTGCCCCCCTTTAATTGGACGGAGAGTGAAGGCGAGCCAGAGCCGGATGCGCACGATGTTGCACACTTGTTGTGTGGATTGGATGCCAGCGACTCGGAAGGAGCGTAAACAGACCAACTGGGGCTTTTACTCACGCTTCTTTGTCCGGCTGACAGCCAGTAGATCGCCAAACTTGTCCGGCTGACAGCCACGCAATTGAGCCTTTCAAGCGTGTCCGATTTCGGCTGAGCACTTGCGGCGTGCACATCTGAGCGAGCATGCCGAGTTGCTGAATTTCACAATGCTTCGTGCTCGAAGAGTTTGCAGCAAACCGTCACCAGCAGGCTGGCCGACAGCTGGAGTTTTGATTCCGCGAGTTTTGGAAAAAGGTTGAAGTTTGAGTGCAGGTCAGTTAATTTGGTTATCTGGCTCGTTGCTCAATAACAGTAAGGCCGTAAGTTCGTAAGTAAGGCTAGGCTGCGGCTGCGGCTTAGGCTTAGGCGGCTTAGGCGGCTTAGCCTTAGGCCTTAGCTAAGTCAGCTAAGTGGCTAATTTAAGTGAAGTGGTTTTAAGGCTACGGTTTGGTTTAGGGTTTAGGGTTTAGGGTTTAGGGTTTAGGGTTTAGGGTTTAGGGTTTAGGGTTTAGGGTTTAGGGCAGTTAAGTCAAGTTAAGGTCCAGGGTCCAGGGTTTAAGTCAGTTTAAGTGCGCTGCAGCCCCTGCTCAAAAAAAGTCAGTTTAAGTTTAAGTTTAAGTTTAAGTCTAAGTTTTAGACTACTGATTCTACTTTAGACTTTAGACTCTAGACTCTAGGTTCTGCGGTCTTCATTAGATTAGATTCAAAGTTAGTAAGTTAGACTCCGATACGATTCGAGATGTTTCTGACTTTAGTCAAGTGACAAGTGTAGCCAGTGCAGCCACTGGTCTTTAGTCTGAAGTGCCTCAGCCACGTAAGCCTTGGCCTAAGCCTAAGCTGCTAAGCTTAAAACTTCTTGGGGCCTGGCCTACAAATCAGTCTTTAGTCTTTAGTCATTGCCCGCAGACATGGTAGCGACCCCTCGGACCGCTCACGCCAGTTTTGTACCATGTTCACTGACAGCCATTCTGATCAGTGCGAGGCACACCACACTCCGGCAGCGCTTGTTGGCTCACAGCCTGCGTTAGCGTGCATGTCATCTTCAGATTCCACCCTGACATTCAGGAGACTCACAGTCAAGTTCGGTGTCCTTGTCGCAGTCTTGCTAGTTCATGCTAGATTCATGCTATGAACCTTGGCCCAGACGCCAAGTGATTCCGGTTCCAACGTTGTGCGGATCACGCAGAGTCTAAGTCTCAGAGACTAAGTGCAGTGAGTCCAGTGTTGCACGTTACTCACCGTTTCAATTCCACTTCGTTCTGCATTTGCAGCGGCACGTGCGGCGCTTCCAGAAGTTGGGCCGCTTGGGGCAGGACTACTTTCACCGGCTGTCAGCCTGTTGTTGTCGCTGTGTTTCGGCTGTCAGCCAAGCTGGCTTGTCAAAGCCAAAGCATGCAAGACATGGATGATGATGTGAAGTCGGTTGCCAAGACAGAGCGATCGCTCGGAGGCGAGACTATCAGCAGCGCTGCAAAGCCGGGCAGTGGCCTCTGCAAGGATGGAACCGTGTTTCTGAAAGTGAAGACTTGCATCGCCTGTGGCATCAAGAACACGGATACGAATGAAATTCTGAAGGGTTCGTTCGCAGACAACAGGTACACCGTCTGGCACAGAGGAACTTCCATCGATCCGTCATCTAAAGATTGCAGGGTGTGCCATATGACTTACCAAATCGGCTCCTTCGGTGAGGAAGGCGAGTCGATCGAGGCCTTCTGTACCAAGATGCGGAAGTCTCCCCAGCTTCAGGCGGAGTTCGATGCAGCGAGGACAAAAATGTTGGAGCTCTTGAATGAAGGGCAAGTCAGGTTCAAAGCCAAGACTCTTCACAATGCGAAAGCGAAACTTGAGGACTCTCGCAAGAAAGTGGTGGAAGAGTTCAAAGAGGCCAGCGAACAGATTATTACCCCCTACAAAATGTATGACCGCAGTTTGTATGAGCAGCTGCATCCAGGTGCCATCGAACGCAAAAATCTGAGGGTTGCAAAGAAGGTCATCAATGGAGAACTCAAAGAGGTTGTGATGATTCGCAAGCAAAAGGAAGGAGAGTGGGACCTGAATGTCGTGGAAAAAGTTGGTGTCAAACACAAGGAAGAGGTCGCCACGTCGGACTTGAAGCTTCATGAGGGCCAACTGGGCAACAAGTTCGCCTCGTCCAAGAAGCGGGTGTTTTCTGCTGTGGATAAAGCCAACGACTGGCAGGACATGCATGCAGAGGATGACAAAGGGGGGGCAGGCGCCGAAGAATTGCCGCGCAGAGTGGAGGAGGAATCATCGGAAGATGATGATTTCATGACCGGGTCTTTGCTGCAAGACATTGGCAGCCCACCGAAGAAAAGTCAAAGGAGCTCAGCGACGGCTGCTGTTGGTAGCACCACCGGCAACTCCAAGCCTGGAGCAGGTTCTTCGAAGCCGAAGGCAACCCCCGCACCACCGAAGGCAACCCTTGCACAACCCAAGGCTTCTGGACTTTCTGCTGTCAGCAAGGTGCCGGAGGCTGCAACTGCTGCCAACCCCATGCCGCCAACGCAGATTCCAGCTACGGAGAAGCTTGCTCCAGAAGGAAGGGGGCGACCCAGCAAGTTCAGGAATCGCACTCCTACAGACGTGCTGGAAGAGCATGGCTTGAATGACGTGAAAACTTTGCAGCAAGCAGTGCATCTTGTCTGCCATATATGATGACTTCACTTCATTGTTTCATATAGTAACCAATAACAATGACTGACAATGAGACAATGAGACAATGACTCTGACAATAACCATAACCATAACAACAATAACAATAGGCAATAGTATAGGTGACAATAAGTCAATAAGTTCATATTCATATAGATTATCAAGTATTATTACTATAACTTATAACTTATAACTTAAACCCTAAACCCTAAACCCTAAACCCTAAACCCTAAACCCTAAACCCTAAACCTTTACTATCAGCCCCCATGCAGCTTCCGTCAGAACTCGGATCCGTCCTTGCCAAGGAACGGCATGTTGTCGAAAAAAGAGCTGAACACGATGGTGACCGACGTGGAGACTTCAGACACGTATAAAAAGTCCATGCAAGAGTTTCAGAGTCGCGCTCAAGAGTACTTGAGAAAGGCTACGCAGTTCGACAACAAGGTCAAAAAGTGGCAGAACCTGCCAGCGGAGATTGGCGAGCTGTCTGGACGGCAGAAAGAGCTGGCTGGTATTTACCAGTCTTGCGCGGGGGCATTTCAGCTGTCAGCTAAGAGGTCCCCTTGTGCTGAAAAGATGGAGCAGGCGATCCAATCTTTGCAAGGCCAAAACTTGCAGGCCGGAATTGTTGGTGCAGGGTAGCGGGTAGCTCTTTCAGTTATCATTGGGAATAAAGAAAGCGAGGATTGGACAGTGTAGATTGATTTTAGACTAATTTTAGACTTGACATTCAGTAATACGGCAATAACTAATGACAATAACTTAATAATAACAATAACTACAGTCCATAGTACTTATAGCCTATAGGGCCTATATGCCTTATGACTTACAACTTATAGACTTATAGACTTATAACTTATAACTTATAACTTATATTAGATAACCTACTAATATAGCCTATAGCCTATAGTAGCATATAAAGCATATACATACTGTCATACTTACATAACTTACATACATACATTAAAGTTTAGCTCTGAGTCTATGAGATTATGACGATGCCAATGCCGCCAATGCCTATGCCAATGACTCGACTCTGACTATGATCGACGATGACGACTTTCTGGATGTGACTATAGACTATAGACTACGACTATGACTATGACTATAACTATAAGTTATACTTATAACTTATAACTATACTGTGAGACGACTATAACTCTGACTATGACTCTGACTATAATTGACTATGACTATGACTATGACTCATGAAAACTATAATTATGATTAGTGCTCATGACTATGACTTGCAAACTATGACTAAGACTAAGACTATGACTATGACTCTGACTATGACTACGACTTTAATCTTTAATTCTAGAACTATTATAAGACTCTAACTTTATAATTTATAACTACTATAAGTTACAGATTCTTATCATGCACGTGTAGAGTCTGTTGATTTTGATTTTCAGGTTCTTGAGGCCCACGAAGTCAAAGGAGTACGGAATTAAGACTTCTGGCTCGTCACCAGTCCTGATGCGTCACAGTTTCACCGGTACAGCATTTCTTCAGAATACCAGTACCACACTTGATTCCCAAATGTCGAGACAGTCATTTTATTCGCTTAAGGCTCTTAAAACTTCGTCATGATAGCCTCGGCACTTCCCATTGCTATCAATGCTGTCAGGTTCCGTTGGCATGGTGCGACTTCTACTTGATGGAAAAGCTTACGGACTGTATCCGCTTCAAGAGACTAGAGGACTTCGTCGAAGCATGTGACCCTGCAAACAAAGTTTTCTCAGACGCGGAGCCAGAGCAGGCTGCAGCAAGCGTCCTGAGGTGTTTGGGCGAAACCTTTTGCAATCTTGTGCCTGCTGCTCCCGATCCGGCTGCCAGCCAGAAGAGAGGTCGTAAGAGACTGGGGGCACCAGATGCAGAGTTGTTGGCGACCCTGGTGGAGCAGTTGTTGGCAGGAGGGACTGCAGGCGATCAAATTCTCGAAGAAGTCAATATTTTTGCTGAGGCACTGGGCAAGGATGACGGTGTGCGGGAGAAGGCGTGTCAACAGCTTAACGTGTGGAAGGCAGATGGCAACTACTTTGGAGTTTTGCGGCCCATGTTGCGGAATGAGAAGTGGCCAGCTTTCGCGGAGTCACTGACAGCGCGACCTTCTGCTGCTTCAGTTTCTACAGAGCTGCGAGCTTTGTTTGAGCAGGTCAATGCGATGACCTCCTTGTTGCCAGAGCAGATCAAGGACGACTTTGCGGACATGCTACGGAAGGCAGCAGAAACAGCGGAAGACTGCGATGGGGTAAACTCCGTGATGATCGGCCTAAAGTTGTTTGCTGAAGAGGCTCGGAAACAGCAGCTGGAGGTCACGTTGCGCCTTTGCAAAGACATCGCCAGCCGCGGTGTCTCAGCCATGGATTTCCAAGGTGACCAGGTGCTCAAAGACGAGATTTTTTCCAAAGGCTGCTGGCAGTTTCCTGGTCTTGAAGCCGTTCTGGCTGACTCGCCGGCAGAAGACAAGCACAAACAGGTGTTGCTGCAAACGTTTTCTGAGCTGAAAGCTGCGGTTGCCAAGTTGAAGCACACCGACTCCTTGCTTGCAGGAGTTTTGGCCCTGGCCAAAGCTTCGCAACAGCATGCAGACCAGATATGTTCGGAAGACTTGCAGAGCTCAGTGGTTCGTTGTTGGAGTGCCGTAAAACACAAGACGCAAACCGATCCTGACGTTGCTTCAGACGATGACCCACTCCGTATAGCTCTCGATAAGCTGCTGATGGCCACCAAGATAGAGCAAGTAGGACCGCGCGTGTATGACGAATGCATGCAACAATTTCGGCTGTCAGCCAAGAAGGTGATGGAGGCAGCGATGCAGCGCCAGCAGAAGGCAACAGCGGACGCATTGCGAACAATGCTGGATATGGAGCACAAATGTATGCAGTGCTCTGCGTTGTCTGATACGCCGGTCTTTGCCCGCTCCTGCATTTCGTTCGCATGTTTGGTGTTTGCAAAGGTGTGCGAGGCTCTGCCTTCCGCTGTCAGCGAGAAAGTGCCAGACGAGCTTTTGACATGTGGCATCGTGGACACCGTCACCGCAGCATGCGACAGGGAAGCTTGCAAGCAGAAGTTGCTTCAGATACTGGATCAAGACACCTCTGAGAAGTTTTTCGAGCAAGCTTCGGCCTTGCACGAACTTGTAAAGCCTCTTTTTACCAAGAAGTCGCAGGCTCTTGAGAAGCTGTTGGCAGAAGCGCTGCAGGCTATGAAGGATGCTGTGGTACTGCAGAGTACAGCCGACATGCCTTTGGAAGCATTTGTCAAAGCTGTGCTTTCTGGAGACCGCGTGAAGGCACTCTTGAAGCAGCTTCGAGTCGCAGAAAAAAACATGCAGGCTTGTGGCCTCTTGAAGCAAGGCAGCTTGCAAGAGGAAGTGACTGAACTGAAAAACCAGGCTCGGCTGCAAATCTTGAAGTGGGGCGCTGCAGTCATCCTGACCAACCCGGAGCTGGACAAGGACTCAGCCAAAGGCAAGGGCCTGAGGAAGGCCTTGAAAGACATATGGGACTCTCATGGCGAGGAGAAAGAGTTTCAAAAGGTTTTGGGCGCGGATGCGTGCAACTTGGTGGCAACAAGCCTCAAGGGCCCCACCAAACGCGAGGGTGGGGAGGACAATGAGGCCGAGCCCAAGAAAAAGGCCGGCAAAAGAAAAGCCGCAGCAGCCCCAGGCGGCTAAAGCTCCACAAACCCTTCGGCTGACAGCCAGTTGAGTCATGTGTGCGGCTGACAGCCAGTTGCGTCATGCGTGCGGTGACGGAGTGAAGTTTGCAGTGTGAAGGACTGCTCGTTCAAGGCCGATGAGCAGATTGCTTTGCGGCTGACAGCCAGAAACAGTTTTGGCTTGGCCATTTTGGCCACAGGCGGCGGCGGCGGCGTTCTTTCTGGTCCGGGATGGGTTCGGCTGACAGCCATGGAAGAGCATCACCTGCCACAACAAGCCGATGTGAGCTGGGCCTGTAAGTGCCTGTTAGCCTGACTTGGCCGCTTAGCCTGGAACCTGAGGTCCTGAGGTGAGCAACGGAATGATTGATAATTGATACTAGGACCTGTAACCTGTAAGCCTGCTGTAATTAGACTAAGCCTTAAGGGCCTTAGCCTGGGGCTTTAGCCTTAAACTAAGACTCAGACTAAGACATTTCGTAGTCGAGTCATGGCATCAGAGTCACACTCGAGTCGAGTCATGTAGTCAGAGTCACAGTCAGTGAGTCAGAGCCATGGGCCATAGGCCATAGGCCATAGGCCATAGGGCCATAGGCATTACTGCATTACACTGTTAAAGTTCTTGATCTGAGTCTGAACTCTGAACTTTGGCGCCACGGCCGTTAAATTGAACTATAGAATTGTTTCGCTTATTGGGGCGTGCCAAGATTAAAGAGACATTCATTTATAGATTTCAAACCATAACGCTATTAAAACTTCAGAGTAAAAGTTCTGATCTTTATTGGACAAACTTGTTGTCCAATCTTCATAGAAAAGTTCTTGAACTTCATAGAGAA